GTGAAAATGATTTTCTTTTTACTAAAAAAAGGACATATTATAATTAGATATCCAGCTCTGACTGATCCAAATATTTCATTTTGCAAATACATAAAATTATTATTCCTTAGACAAACTTACCTACAAAGTAATCTTCAAAAACAAACAAAGCCTTCTAACTCAGTGAGTGTCTATTTTGTACAAATCTAACTCAAGTTTAGAAGGGCCACTTACATTCATATTCTGAAATAACTTTTACCGGTATATTACCCTTCAACGATTTCAACCTAGTAAAATTTTAAGTGCCAACGAAATTTTGCAATTTTTATTTGTTTTACGAAATTTAAGCAGTTTACAAGTAAATTAAATTATAAAAAGCAAACAGCAAACACTATACTTACAGTTTTCACACAGTGTACCAGTATAACAGCCAGTACAGGTGCAGCTGTAAGCGTTACAATTTCCTGGTACACTCAGAGATCCACAATACCCTCCATTCAAACAGGGATTCGGCTGACATGGGTTGATTACTTAAAAAGAAAAAAAAACGAAAATGGTTTCATATAAGCATTCACTAAAAAGTAATAACATCATTCACTACAAACATGAATAAAAAAATTATATACTAGTTTTGTAATTATTCATCTGTCAGTGTAAGTCAGTTAAAGTGAGACATGTTACAATTAAACTGTAACAACTGGTGTGTCTGCATTCTGAATTGAAAATCAGTGATACTTTCAAGATATCAGACGCAGTGCAATATGAAAAAGTTCTACAAAATTGAAATACATGTAAGGTTGAATGAGAATAGTACACAACCACACTAACCTCAGATACTACTGCTATATTTGCTCTATTAGAAGCACATGTGCTTACATGAATCACAGAGGTGTGTGTATGGTCAAAACAAATAATAATTTTAAAGCGGGAGAGTTATCCCCTGTGAATGCGTCAGATGGCCATAGCATGTCATTGTTTACAAACAAGTGTCTACCTATGAGCCTTTGCATGTGTTGTTATCATCCTTCTGGACTCCATTCCCCGCAAGTGCGCAGGTGACAACCCTCTCGCTTTAACTATCCAGTATACAATTCAAGTAACTGTAGGTTTACATGTGATTCTACTGGAGATGCATAAATAAAGCAAATGCGGTACCATAAACATCTCCACATAATCTGATGCTACACATCTGATACTCTGTAATCCATGATACTTTGCAACACTTTTGAAGCACTGCATTTCACATGATTGTATCTACACCATTCCTTATTTGGAGGTGAATGTCCAAATATAGAAAGCACACAGTTCAACAATGCTAATATTACCTGCAACAATTTTACTAAATATTTGTTTGACAATTCTACCATTACATCTAACAGCATGGTAATACCACAAAGTATGCACTCAATCAGTTGGAACGGTAAAGAATCAAAGCAATCTGTCCCACCAAATACACCTCAGTCAATTATCTTTGAGGTTTTTATACAGTTTATAATATCCTTAATATAATATCCATATCCAACTAAATCTGATAAGTAGGTTTATATTAATGATAGGAGGCAGGTAGAATAAATGATGAAGTTCACTTACGTGATTCACACCATACACTAGTGTAGCAGCCCGGGCATGAACAGGTGAAATCCGTACAGGAGTTTGGAACAGGACTACAGGTTCCACCATTTTGACACTGACTTGGCTGACATGGGTTCAACACTGAATAGGGAAAGAAAACAAGTAAGATTTTGCTTTGCCAATACACAGTGGATGTGCCACTTCAATAACACTTCCTCACAAAATAACTCTCTCTATATAATCAATAAAATTGCAATTATTAATATTAATTATAAAATGCATTCACCTGAAAATATAATAATTGATTTGTGAATTAATAATACATACATGTTTCACAGTTAGGACCGGTATAGCAGCCAGGACATTGACAACTATACGAATTACAGGAGCCTGCTTGAGCTACACAAATACCACCATTCAAACATGGGTTCGGAGAACATTGATCAATTCCTGTTATGATAGAAATAAATAACTTTAATACTTGCTACCTCCTACAAGTGTAATCACAGAAAGTGTGGGTATAGAAGACATGCATAACTGTGCGACAGAACAAACTCTGGCTTTGTTATTTTAATAGTTGAACTACTGTAAATGTCCTATGCAAATGATAGGAACTCTACTAAAATATATTACAAGTAATGGTGCTTACTAGTACTGCAGTCAAACCCAGTAAAGCATTGCTGACAATAACAGCTGAAGTCTGTACATGAACCTTGTTCTGGTATACAGAAACCACTATTCTGACATGGGTTCGGCTGACATGGATTCTGAGCTGAAAGTAGACAAACATTAAAAATAAAATTTGTTTATTCTCCTTTTACTCTTAACATCATATAGCATATTGAAATCAGATAAATGGAATCAAAGGCTTGTGGTCCACAGTGCGGGAAATCTACTGAAATCACTGATAATTGAACTCATACCTATTTCACAAGAGTCACCAATGAAACAACCAGTACACTGACATGAAAAATCCTGGCACGTATTCTGGTCTCCTATGCAGATGCCACCATTCAGACATGGGTTACCATCACAGGGATTCACACCTGCAGAAAAAAAAATAATAAAATTACATAAAAACATGCAATGTATTCTTTTATATCTATGGTTTTATGAGAACACTTAAAAAACTGAAAATTGACTCAAATCTTTTCTGTTGGCTCCAAAATTAGGGTTCATTTCCAGAAATATTGAAGAGTAGGAGTGCAGAGAAATTTGGGCAAGAAAGTTTGAATGTGAAAGGGTTAAAACTCACTAATGCACATTACAACATTACTTACGAATCGCACAAGTGGTTCCTGTCCAGCAGGTATCAGGGCATACACAGGAATAATCAGTGCAGGAACCAGCTCTCTGTGAGCACACACCAGAATTCAAACATGGATTTGGACTGCATGGGTTTTGTACTGCAACAAATTAAAACACATAATTACATGCACATGAGCGTAACCTAGATTATATACATAAAATAAAAAACAAGGAAAAAAATTAACTGTTAAACAAGCACAGTAAATGTATGTGTTATGCCCATCATTGATCAATTTATCAGTTTTCAAGAACAAAAATGAAATTTGTTGAAAGCACTTGCGAGTGGTTCACTGATTAGCATATGGGGTAAACAATATAGAAAGTGGTAAGTAACTCTTACGTGTTTCACAGTTGTTTCCAGTATAGCAGCCAGAACAGATACACTGGTAGGAGTTACATGATGAACCACTCTTAACGCAGGTACCACCATTCTGACAAGGAGCTGCTTGGCATGGGTCAATCACTGTAAAGAAAAGGCATTATTCAAAATATGTAGCCTTATATGTTTTGTTTTTGTGTACAATTAAACATGGCTTTATTTTTGCCATGTTAGGCTTGGAAAAAAGTTGTCAGCTTCCTTATAAACTGATGGGGACACAGTTTTAGATCAAGATAGCTAATTCAGCTAATTTGTAGGCTAATTTAGATCAAGATAATAGCTAATATGTAGGCTAATTTACCGGTAGATCTAGGGTAGTTAATTTCACTAATATATCAGCTAATTTAGATCAAGATAGCTATCGGTAATTCAGCTAATGTAGGCTAATTTAGATCAAGATATAGCTAATTCAGCTATAATGTAGGCTAATTTAGAACAAGATATAGCTGATTCAGCTAATATGTGGGCTAATTTAGATCAACTTATAGCTAATTTAGCTAATATGTAGGCTAATTTAGATCAATATATAGCTAATTTAGCTAATATTTAGGCTAGTTTAGAGCAAGATATACCATAGCTAATTAAGCTAATATGTCAGCCAATTTAGAACAAAGATAGCTAATTCAGCTAAAATGTGGGCTAATTTAGATCATGACATTTTTTTAAATATATTAATGTTCAGCATCATGCATTGTGCCAAATTTTCTAACATTAATATCATAACGGTTCTTTTGTATCTTCTAATCTTTTGTAATATTGCACATTAATTGAGGACTATTCTTACATGTTTCACAGTTATCACCAGTGTAGCAGTTGACACAAAAACACGTATAGGCCACACAACCCTGGAAATCAGGCTGGCAGTAACCACCATTTAGACATGGACTTGGCTGACATTGGTTGATGCCTGGAAAGAAATTGAAATACTTTATTTATACCAAATAGTTAGAATGGTAATTAAAAAAAAAAAAAATTTTTTGTTTATATACTCATACATACGCTGTTCACAGAAACTTCCAGTGAAGCACTCTGGACATGTGCACTGAAATTCAGTACAGGAACCATCTAACGCAGAACATACACCCCCATTCAGACAACGATTCGGTTGGCAAGGATCAAGAACTGAAAAAACAAAACAATTGTAGACAATAAGTACAAATTTTATTATTATGTGGCTGTTTCAAATCAAGTCTTCAAAACATTATAATATAAATCAAAAAGCCCAAAGCTGAAAAAATAATAATTATGACATTGAAAAATTATTTGTAATTGCCAGATAATAATAAATATAATTTCAGTATTTCAACATCCATACTAATGATCCATATTACAATTTCAGGGAACCACACCCACTCTAGCTTTCCTTTGACGTGTTGACATGTTGATAATGTTTACACCAAAGCAATAATGTCTGTTGCTTATGTGATAACTAAAGGTACTTACGTGTTTGACAAGAACCACCAGTATAACACGATTGACATTGACAATTGAAAGCAACGCAAGACCCAGCTACTTTAGAACAGATGCCGCTGTTTTGACAAGGATTGGGCTCACACTGATTTTTCACTGGTTAAAAAAAAAAATAGGTAAAAGCAAATGTCACTTTTACTTCATTAAATAATGTGAAATCTTGTAATGTCAAGTAATACACATTCATGTAAATAATGCAATAATGTAATCGAAAGTAATGCAAAATTTTGTAATATCAAGTAATACATAATCTTGTAATTTCAAGTAATGCACAATATTGTAATGTCATGTAATGCACAATCTTGTAATGTTAAGTAGCACACAATCTTGTAATGTCAAATAACACACAATCTTGTAATGCCATGTAAAGCACAATCTTGTAATGTTAAGTAACACACAATCTTGTAATGTTAAGTACCGTAATGAACAATCTTGTAATGTTAAGTACCGCAACGCACAATCTTGTCAAGTAATGTAAAATTTAATTTAAGAGGCAGAGCAACATTTGTATTTCTGTGAAATCTTCATTTTTTTTTTAAATTTGCTGTAAGTGTAGTTACAATACTCAGTAGTTACCAATACTCTTACTTTTTGATTTCACAAGACATTAATTAAATGCTGCGGGTATGCTGACCAACACTTGTTGCCTGAGCTTGTCACTCAAATCACCTTATCAGTTACTCACTGATTTTACATTAGCTAGACAAAAGCAGCAGATTACATTTAATTGCTGCTTTACTGACAATATAATACTCACATATTTGACACTCGTCACCTTCATAGCAGCTTGTACACTGGCATGAATACACAAGACATGACACTTGCTGACAAAAACCATTATTCTGACAAGGATTTGGTTGACATGGGTTCAGATCTAAAACAAAAATTAATGTATTCATATTATAGTCGACATCACAATTAATAAAGTTGTTAATGATTACCGGTTTTCATTTTTTTTTTTACTTATAACTTGATTTGCTTTATTTACTGTAAAATACTGGAATTAATTTTCGCTGAAAAGATTTTGTGGGTGTTATGTATAGAATTTATTTTCACTGATTTTTTATAAGTTGAATGTAAAATATAGGAATAAAAGTATATTCACTGGATTTTATTTTCACTGAATCATTCCTTCAGCGAAAATTAATTCCAAGCGAAAACAGAGTATTTTACAGTAGTTCTTTGCTGTTAACAACTATGAAAGATGGTAAATACTTCATTCCATATTCAGTTTAATTACCAGTTTCTTAAAGTTGCTAATTACATGTACCATTTCGTAAAAAAACTATGCTGTTTTTTTCAACAGATCATATTCGACATTGATAATTCACTTCCACATTGTGATACCAGAATGGCTTTGTGAAATAATGGGGAACTGCATCTATACAACACAGCATTTTGATTGGTTAATAACAGGACATATTAGGTCAAAGGACGTTGTTTGCAGGTCAAATCATGCAAGAAAACATCATTGTGGAAATTGCTTTGCATTCAACAAAGAAGATAAGAGTGAAGAGTGATTTCAACTTAATGTGTTCCAACAGACTAATAATTTTACCTATGCGTGCAATAAACTCTTTAACAATGCTCACACTGCAAGTTATTGATTTTTGATGGACAATCTGCTTTCTGAAAACAAATACCGATATATATATGCACCATATATGCTATCTAATATTTTTGTAATCACTAATTTTTACTTGACCACTTCAAAACTTCATCGTAATTTCTAAAACCTCGACTGTAATTTTTCAAAGTAGTTGAAATTTTACGATAGCATCACTAAGGCCAAGCAACTTTCACAGTATGCCTCACGAGTAAATAAAACTGGCTCTTCAAATAAATGAAAATAACCCTTACATGTTTCACAAATATTTCCAGTATAGCAGCTAGTACACTGGCAAGTAAAATCTGTGCAGGAACCGGGAGTTGGTATACAGACACCACCGCTTTGACAAGGATTTGGTTGACACTGATTCACGGCTACAAAGATTAATGCAAACAATATTATTACAAGACACTGCGAAAAATATAGCAATGATAGAAATGTAAAAGTACAATTATAATATTAACCAGCCTTTGGAGTGAGCGTGAGTAACTACAGGCACAGGTGCATATCATTTGTACTTACGAGTTGTGCAGGTGAGTCCTTGGAAGCATTCTGTACACTGACAAGTGTAAAGTAAACAAGATCCTGTCTGGGCAAAGCATACACCCTGGTTCTGACAAGGATTCGGAGAACACTGATCAATCGCTGTAGTATACAATATTGTAAAATGTTATTGTACAGCAGAAAATGATGAATTACTTCGAGAGTAAAAATTTTGATGATAAGCTATTAGGTCTATGCATGTCAACTAATAGAGAAAAACACATGTCATCTTACAGTAAATTTACTGTCTAGACTTTGAACTGAATGTAAAGGGTTAAACAAGCTGAAAGAATTACCTGTAGCACACTCAGAACCCGTCCAACATTGCTGGCAGTAGCAGCTAAATTGATCACATGTGCCAGCTACCGGAATGCAGAATCCCTCATTTAGACAAGGATTTGGACTGCACTGGTTGATGACTGGAATGAAATATGGAAAATGCAGTGGAATTTATGATAATGTTTGGTGTGGGAGGAGGGGGAATGGAGTACTGAAGATAAGATGGAAAGCTACAGGCATACAATAATGGTCTAAATCACAGCTGGTAGTAACAATAATTCAATTTTTTATAAAAACGATGAGAAATGTAGAAGAAACAAACTGCCACTGTGGATCAATCACTTGAGATAGAGTAGTTTTCTGCAAGTTTATAAGAAAGCACACTTACATGTTTCACAAACGTCGCCTTCGTAACAACCTGAGCACTGGCACATGAAATCTGTACACGAGTTCGCTATGGCAATACAGGCACCACCATTCAGACATCGGTTAGGTTGGCAAGGATTTTGAACTGTGGATGAAAAAAATAGAAGATAATTTATCAGTTTTGGAAAATTAATTTGAATAGCTTAAAAATAAAACAAATGCTCAAATTTACGAAACTTTCCAGATAATTCCATACATACAGCACTTGTCTGACTTACCGGTAATGACCATGCCTGACTAAGTACCAAACCTTCACCTTTGGGACATTTCTATTTTTGCGGTTATGTTTGGCAAAGCGCTCATCCCCTCAAAAATGCTCCGATTTTGACTGTCAAGTCACAAAATGTGATTTTTGATCATTGTTCGACTTTTCTGAATGCTGGTAATGAAATCTATATAATACAGCATAGACATCAGCCACCGTGTGTATGTGTAGACCACAGTAACTGTGCGCAAACTATGCTTCTATGCATCAATACTTCATTCCATATTCAGTTTACCCTTCAAAAACTACTAATTACCAGTTTTTTCAACATATTTGGTTTTCCGTAAAGGCTTTCAGCAGGTGGTGTGTGGAAATAAAATAACTGAATATACTTACGTTGTTGGCAGTTGCTTCCAGTGTAGCATCCCACACAGGAACACTGATATGTTGTACATGTCAGTTGATTACAAGTACCACCATTTAAGCATGGATTCTGTGCGCATGGGTTTTGTACTGAAATAAAGAGAAACATCACTGATTCTTGGTAGACCTCGTAGTGTGCATATAAAGAAATCCACCTGAATTCAGGAATACCAGGCTTGCAGCATGTCAGGGAATGTGGCAACATATTTTGTATAATGAGTTTCAGTTACAAATATTTTATCAGATTGCATTCAATTTGGCTTATGAGAGAGAAAGATGTATATCCAAGCATTACAACATTTCACAATTTAATTGACAATCACATTAACTAAAACTAACGAGATACTATGAAATGCAATTACCCTGGTAGAATCATTTTTGTTTTCCACATTTTTGAACCCACCTGACACAAAAGTTTCAGTGAAGGAATTGCTCATAAGCCAAGTGATTCTAAAAATGACAGCCTTTATAATAGACAAACTCATCTGAAGAAAATAATTCAGATTTATTACTTTAAAGAATCATAACCAACTAAAATACTCACAAACATCACATGTAAGTCCAGTATAGCATCCATCACAGCTGCACGTATAGATAAAACAGGAACCCTGAATAGGCTGGCATGTTCCGCCATTCTGACAAGGATTTGGACTACACTGGTCAAGCCCTTCAATAAAACACCATTTCAGTTAGATTACATGGTAAATGATTTCTGAATAAATGATAAATCATATACTTTAAGTTAAAGCCAATGTTGAAAATAAAAACTTACTGGTTTCACAGTTGGTACCAGTGTAACATTGTTGACACTGGCACTGATAGGTGGAACATGATTGTTGCAGGCAGACAGCACCGTTCTGGCAAGGGTTTGGCTCGCAGGGATTTAGGACTATCAACCGGAATATAACGTAGAAAAAAAAAACATTGATCAGAAAAGAATGAATGTAATGAATGATTATTTTCCACTGGATCTTTGACAGAGATTTTAATGTATATCGTGAAAGTTGTGATGTTGTACAGTGAATTAAAAAAATATAAAAATCCAGGTGATAATCTTAATTTTTTGTAAGAAACTACAAATATGTTATGATGTAAATGTAATTAAATTGTGTTACACTAAAAACCAAATACTGACACATTGTAATATTTATAAAGAAAATATATGTGACTTACGAGTCTCACACAGGTCGCCGGAGTAGCACCCACTGCAAATACACGTAGTCGCAACACAACCATTGTCAGATTGTTGGCAAAAGCCACCATTGAAACAAGGATTTGGTTGACATGGATTGATTCCTGGACAACACAAAGAACAGGCATGAGTAATAAACTGAAAACTGCAGACCATTATGAATCAACCACAAAAACACATTATTTGAAGTATACACCTGATGAATAAGATAGTTAAAATGAAGTTTATTGTTCCACATATTATTTTGCATTTGTATATCCGATAATTACCATAAAACATAATATAATTGTTTTTTTATTCTAAAAGCAATAATGCTTGCAATGTAGCCAATTAGCCATTGATATTGCTGGTTAGGTGTACGAAACAAATTCATGGACATAGTTATCTCCTTAGACATCAATGTTAACAAATCCAGCCACCGGTAGCGTAGTCATTGTTGCATTGAACATATAATTTGTAGACCCGAGTTCAAATTCTATCTTAGGCTGAACACCAAAAGCAAGTCAACCGATACTCCATTGAGTGCACCACAGACTGAATGGGAAGGCCAATTTCATTCATTCACTATCGAATGTGACTTTGGGGGAATCTTGGTTAATGTCTACAGATACTTGTGATTGACCAGGCGTTCTTGATGCCAGAATAGCGCAATAAATTGCCATTATGATAAGAAGATGATCAAACAGCCATGTCACGTAGACCACAAAATAGCCTAGATATTTGACTTCTGAAGTTTGTATAGACCATGGAACTATAAACCCCGGGGTTTATAGTTCCATGTATAGACTTACTTGATTCACAGCTCTGTCCCGTATAGCAATCAGCACATATACATGTATACTGGTTACAATTGGTGGCTTGGCAAGTAGCACCATTGAGACACCTGTTAGGTTCACAGGGATCCAGTACTGAAACAAAAAACATGAATAACAAACCACAAATATTAACTAAAACATGTTAGTATAATCAATGTTATATTATACATATTATTTTTGTTGTTGTGCTAAAATAACAATATCATGGCGTATGTGAATATTATAGAATCAGTATAGCAATTATTGAAGTTTGTAAAATGAATTAAAAAGATTTTCCTAAATGTCAGCTTTGAAATAAGTGTTCAAAAATATGTCAATGCCACATTGTTCATATCTTCCGTATTAGCTCCATACAGAATGTCTGTGTTCCTAACTGGAATGCTAAATACATTGATGCTTCTGAAGATTAGTGTAAATAAACTTTGAGGGATTCTGTAAACATACTTTAGGATATAAAACTGATTAACAGCACTCATTAGCATAGCCACACCTTCAATAAACAATTGCCAGCAAGGGCAACTGAATTTGAATTTTTTTGAGTTTTGAATGCATTAAAAAGTTACTTGTTTTCTAAATGTAAGTTTTCCCTGGAAACAAAGTCATGTTACTCACATGTTTCACACATATTGCCTGTATAACAGCCAGGACAAAAACAGTTAAAGCCTGTGCAGGTACCAGCAATAGGATTACAGGTACCACTGTTCAGACATGGGTTGGGATCACACTGATTCATCACTGTAAAAATTAAAAAATAATCATTGATAATTTATTCTAAAAATTAGTAGTTGCAGTCATGTCAGAAACATTCATGAAAATTATAAATGTTAAACTTCATTTTGGGAATTAAAGATAATTTTGAAAAAATGTAACACTGATCAAAGTAAAATGTAGCATAGACAATTGCATAACAAATCCTAACCCGTCTTTATCAGTCTGACCATGGAGCTCCATGGTCTGACCAGAGAATTATTAGTAAAAAGCTAGTTCAACATTGTTGGAAACATTTTTTTCTCACGTAATATATCAATGTGACTGATTATTTTCATCAGAGCAAGGATGAATATGCATTTGATGATTTTTGTTTTAATTAGTGTGACAGCTAGTATGTGGTACTTACATATTTCGCAATTGGTACTGGTGTAGCAGCCTGTGCAATAACAGGTATACAACACACAGGATCCTTGTACTTGCTGACAGATACCACCATTACGACAAGGACTGGAGTCACATGGATTGATAACTACAATAACAAAGAACATCAAGAATTATAAATTATGGCTTCAAAAGTAAAATACTGTTCGTACATGAAGAATAATTACACTTAGTGTCTTTGACGTATAAAGTGAAATGTCTCATATTACAAAATGCAGCAGTTAAAATATTCATAAGATATCTGGGTCAGAAGTTTCCTGCCAATTATAACCAAAAATTGTCATGAAGTCTGTGAAGTACATACAAATACTAACCCTTTTCCCCATAAACTATTTGTATATCTGCATTGATATATTGTTATATATTCATACTAAATTATACAACTATTTTTTTCATTGTTATTAATTTTGTTTTGTAGTTATTATAGTGACCTTACTGATACTGTAAAACCATATAATTTGTTTTGAGCAATTCCACTGTGTTTTAAGTTCACAACTTGGCAGGAAACAATGATTTTTATTCTTTTTTTACATGTTTATGTAAATTTCATTTAGCAAGTTTTACTAACCTGCAAAAATAGCAAAATCAAAAACTAGTGAATAATTTAATATTTACAGTAAATCAGTGTTGTGTCAATAAATTTAAAATATATATATTAATATATATTCCCAAGTCAAGGATAAATACACATGTGATAACAAAAAAATATTCTTGTTTTCTCTTTGTGTATCTTAAAGGGCGGTGGTCGTCACGCCGCGTTCTGTTCGATATGGGACTCATAGCAACGTATACAACGCGTGTAAAATACATTGTTTATTTACATGAAATTCAAACACACGCTGCTTGGCGACCTACGCGCTTTAATTGGATTGTGGGAAAATCGATGTTTATCAACACAAATGTCACGCATGTGTGGGGAGGCGACCACCACCCTTTAATGTGATTGTAATTGAAGAGAATTAAAATTGTCCATTGTGTGAGTGCGAATATATAAATGTACCGACTTACATATCTCGCAGCTTCTACCGGTGTAGCATGTGGGACACATACAAGTGTAGTCGACGCAGGAACCGGGTAGTTTGGACACAAGTACCGCCATTTGCACATCGTGAACCCTGGCAAGGATCTTGAACTGTTATAGGTAAAATACAATAAATATTGTTAAATACTGTTCAACAATATACTGTAAAACACATTGAAATAGCTACATGCCATTTTAGCGAATTTGGTTTAATACATGAATTAACATATTCTTAATTTATCTAAAGTGTCAACAATCTCATTGTGATAATATACTTTATTCTAAATTAGCAACATCTTGAATTAGCAAAATTACAGGTTATCTAAATTAGCTAAAATGAGATGCTAGCTAAAAAGACGTGTTTTACAGTAGTTTAAATGCATCTGAAACCTGACAAACCGATGAGGCTACCCGGGAATAATTTGGCCATTAAATCAGTTCCGTTGTGGCAGTCCAGTGTGACATATAGGGAATAAGGTCAGTCACACCTCCAATCCCATGATTAACATATATCTTGGCCGACTTCAACCATTGGCCGAGTTCAAAACTGGCCGAGTTCGGCGGACACCGATCAGTCAATTCCAAGTAGTCGTGGTTTTCAAAAAGTTTGGGTCTACCTCAGTGATGTGCACGACTCGGTCGGTCTATGTACTATACCAACAGCAACAGATCAAACATGGGATACGGTATGTCTGAACGTCACAACACCACAGAAATTGAAGTCCCTCGTTGTCTCTTATTTTTACCTCTACCCCCGGGGCGGTTAAGGAAGACCAAAAACACTTTGACACAAGCAACCTCTAATGATTTTCGTCTATCAGGTAATATAAGACCTAATTTCTATGTACATCTGGCAAACGCACGAGCATACCTTGAATGGAAAACCTACGAGAATGTTTTTACCATCTTCGTCAAAATATAAGTGCGCATGCGTTGTTATATTCTATCGTCAACGAAAAGTAGCAACGCACGAGGAGTGTTTTGATTGGTCCACATCAAGGTTGTGAAAATTGCGGGTTTTTCGTTTCCTGTTTGAGCTGTCGTGTCTACACTATTGTTACCGAACGCTTACTCACGAGTACTTAAAAGTGACCTACTGAACTTTTGAGCAACATAATAAATTCAATTCGTCAATGAAATAAAATAATCAGGTCAATTTTTCTGTGGAGCTGACAGCTTATCTTTATTATTTTCATGATTTTGCATAACATTATTCTAACCCTCTTGCCACAGTCCCTCTTATATATAGAGGGACTGTGCCCTGGGCTAAAAGTCCTTATATGTCTGGCGAGTAACCCCTACCGTGGGGCACGGTTGGTAACCGATCATGGGCGGAAGTGTTTTGATTTCAGCGGAAAAATCAATAATCCACCAATTTAGCAAGCTTGTAAACTAACTTTGAAGTGAAGTGAAGTAATAGGTTTACAACCAACAATATAGCAACTTACGTGTCTGACAAAACTGGCCAACATAGCACCCAGAACACTGACAGTTAACGGCCGTGCATGACCCGGGAATCTTCGAGCACGTGCCTCCATTTAGACACGGAGCTGAACTACACTGATCGATTTCTGTAAACAACAATTAGACACAACAGCAATGACCAACAAGCAAACTCAGTAAGTGCGAAGTTTTCCGTGAAAAAAAATCGATAATTTGGCCAATAAACGGAAATCAGTATCTTATCATAGTCCATCAATAAAGGGTGGGCGTAAGTATTATATTTGAATACAGTTTACCAAACTACGAATGTGTGTTTGTTACTTACCTTGTTCGCAATTGTTACCAGTATAACAACCCTGACAGAAACAAGAATAAAGGGTACATGACCCAGGCGAAGGCTGACATATGCCGTTATTCTGACATGGGTTTGGAGTACACTGGTCAAGTCCTGTAACACAGTAAAGGTGGAATTACGTCAGATTATTATTAGTATTTAATAGTTGTCAGTGAACTGATCGTTACTAATTGCTGCTTTTTTCAATTATTATGAGGGTTTTAAATATTAATTAAGTATTCTTACTTGTTTGGCATAGCTCTCCTGTGTAGCAATTTTGACACTGACACTGAAAATCAGTACAAGACGTCTGTATACATACACCACCATTCTGACACTGATTTGGTTGGCATGGCAACATCGCTGTGAAAAAGAGATATTTATCGAACATTATACAACACTCACAGGTTTATACACGGACACAATTTAAATATGTATGTACATACATATGTATACCTTGTTCGCATCTGTCTCCGGTGTAACAGCCCTGACACTGACATTGGTAGTTCGTACATGAGTTTTGTACAGCAGAACACTGGCCACCATTAAGACACTGATTTGGTTGACATGGATCCAATACTGGAAATGACAAAGAATAACACAAATAAGCATCATGCCGAGATATAAACGGGTATAAACGGGTTTGTATAATAGCAATTATAAAATGAAAGCGTTACTCACATGTTGCGCATGTCACACCAGTGTAACAACCAGGGCACGTGCAAGAATAACTTGTACACGAATCTTGGTTGCACACACCATTATTGAGGCATGGATCAGGACTACACGGGTTGAGCACTGAAATCGAATAACAATAAATATCATTGTATAATTGGTTTGTTCGTGTTTGGGAGAATATCGTAACGGTATTACTATTGAAATGTGAACTCACGTGTATCACAGGTAAATCCGGAGTAACATCCGGGACACGTGCAGCTGAAAATGGTACAGGATCCCTGGAATGGCACACACGTTCCCCCATTGCTGCATGGAAAGCTTGCACACTGATCAATTCCTAAAATTATCAAATGCTATATTAGAACTAATGTTCTGGAATATATGTATATTGATAACAAGTTAAAAAATACAGCGTTTGTGTATGTCGTATGCCTGACAAATACCATATAACACAAACAATTCGTAAATCAATTAATCAACTTAGGACAAACGTTGTGATAGGAAAAAACACTATAAGAAGGAATGGAAGTTGTGAATGATACTTACGTGTCTCGCATTGTGTTCCGGTGTAGCACTGTTGACAACCGCACTGATATTGCGTACACGTTAACTGGGTACAATATCCACTATTTTGGCAGGGGTTTGGTGAACATGGGTCGAGTCCTGTAACACGTAAGACGTTAATTATAAACTAGTCACATTGCAATTGATTTTAAAGGTTAGCTATAACCAGTGGCATTCAAATAAACAAAAAACACGAAACTTTACGAAATGCAAACAAGGTCGATGATCGTCCCAGAACATGCGTTCGAATTTCAGGTAAAAATAACAATACATTTTACCAGCTGTGCATACGTGGCATGGGACCCATATCAAAAACATTTTAAAAGCATTTTATTTCAAGTAATACTTTAGGGAAGCGGAGGCATATTGGGAGTCTGTCAATATACGACGTTATAATCTGTTGCATTTTGATAAACTTGTTGAAAACAAACGTAACTTATCTCGTATGATGACATTATTAGGTAATTATATATTGTAAGACGATGAAAAATGCGAAAAAAACACGATAACATTAGACGACAACACTGCTCAAACAATGAATCTTGCGCACTTACGTATAGCAACGGAGATTGTAGTCTTACTTACGTTGTTCACATAGATCACCGGTGAAACATGTAGAACACGTGCAGGAGAAATCTGTGCATGAACCTGGAGTTGCAGTACATATACCTCCATTAGCACATCTGTTAGGCTGACACGGGTCCATCAAGGTCTCGCAGGAGTTTCCCGTGTAGCAACCGACGCAGTCACAGGTACGCGACGTGCAGCTCACCTGCGAACATTGGCCGTTGTTGAGACATGGATTGGCCTGACATGGGGCTTGAACTGGAAGAAAATATTTCACATCGATGAATTTAGTCTATACTGAATTGTGTTGTGTATCCGATTACAACAAATTAGAAACTTAAAAATGCTTCTGGAATTAATCGTACGCATCAATAACTCAAAACCGACGCATGCGCGTTGGTATTATATACTTACGCGTTTCACAGTTTTGGCCAGTATAACACCCAGTACAGGTACAGCTGTATGCGAAGCACGACCCACCGACATTTTGACAAACTCCGTTGTTCTGACACGGATTGCTACCGCACGGATCAATTCCTGTTGAATCAAGCAATAACAAAGGTATCTAGTACACGTAATAATACAGCTGGCTGTAACTAGCATCTATTATTTGGTCTATGCATGTGTATACTATTATTGCGATAATTGGAAAATAATTATATTAATAATAATTATAATTCGGGTAACAACTACTCACTTGTTTGACATTGATCGCCAGTATAGCAGGATTGACAACTGCAGGTATATGCCGAACAATCACCTGATGACTGGATACAGAATCCGCTATTCTGGCACGGATTCGGTAAACATGGATTCACGTCTGTCAATGACAATGATTAAAAATTAACATGTTTATTTTCCAACTATTCCACTAACAGTGTCATTTGTAACACTGTACCGTGTGTCACATACCAAAAAGTATGCACGAAGACAGTAAAGCGACCGATACGCAGCGGAGGTCAATGCGACGGCGTACTGTCTGAGTGCACACTTTGCGGTATCCTCGTAATAACCTTATTATTAGAGAACGCTCATTTCCTAATATGGTAGGATGAAGATACCCAGTGAAATACCGCAAAATGATGGCACGCTGTATCTTATGGCGTTACGATGACAGATGTATAATAATATGTTTTATTAAGAATGGCAAACTTACATGTTTCGCAGTTTGGTCCTGTAAAACAGCCTGTACAACTGCATGTGTAGTCAATACAGGAGCCAGCAGTGGGATTGCAAACACCACCATTCAGACAACGACTGGGTTGACACTGGTTTACGGCTGCACATAGTAAAATAATGCAAATATTACTTTCAAAACGTTTTTAATTGTTTTAGATAGCTTCAGAACAATAATGTGTTATACCGTACATACAACATGTGTTTAAAAATACACGTTCTATTACGTACTGTAGTATTATATTTAAAACGGTACCAGCAAACCCTGAAAATAGTGACCATATTTATACCTATGTAGCTACGAAATCTACACCCCGTATTTATATCAAGCGACAATAAATGCATATCAAATGCAAAATTTGATGTTTTACATGAACAGCTGCCAGACATAAAATAGTTATAACTATTAGTTCAACATAATTATAAAATAATACACATTACATGATACTAATCGTTATACAACATTTAAAATGGAATTTTTTCAATCAATCTCTAAGATCAAAAGTAGGTTGGTTTGTGCCGATGACAACATGACACATGTGAGTCGGACCCATAATTTACAATGCCTAAAATTCTTATAGCAAGTCCATCTCCGTCACTCTCTACGGAGACTAGGGGAAGTGGCCCAGGAATGTACATCTAAGGCATACTTACGGACATTGCAATTCGACCCCGACCAGCACTGAGCGCACGCACATGTGAGTGACACACAGGAATTGGCCGTCGCCAAACACGTTCCCCCGTTCTCGCAAGGATTCGGACTACACTGATTCAGCACTATATAGAGAAGAAATCACGATGGGTAAAGGATGTAATACAAATAGATTTACATCACGTATAGTAATATTTTTATGACACATTTGGATATTTACATACTATGACGTAACAAACATGCCAAATATAGTAAACAAAGTGTTAGCATTGTGTGAATGATACGAATGAAGAGCACTACTATTACAAACATATATGCAATCATCTGACGCCCAGATTCTATTCTATATGATATCATAGCGTATGTATGGACGCGTGAAATGTACGAGAGTGCTTGCTAGGGGAGGCATTTGAAAGAACACAGAAAAGACGAAAGCGTAACAGTTGGAAATGATTAGAAGAAAATGTTGTAGATATCCTCGTCACTTATCTTACCTGTAGAATTAAAGAAGTCCTATATATACATTGAACAGCAGAAAAAGAACAAGCACTAAACGTGCTCATGATTGTAAATTATCATTGAAGATTGGAGAAGTTTCTGTGTGTTTTTTTAGTTAACAATTATGCATAATTAAGCACACAGTGGGTGATTAAAAAGGCTCAATTAAAGGGTGGAACAAAGGCAAGGAAATCACCAGATGCTACAGCCCGGCACATTTCTGTGACAGTATTTAAAAGCCTGTTCTTATTGTGGTCTTGTCGCCATCGTGTGGATGGACGGCGTGACACGTGATTAGCTTTCTAATAAGCATAACGCGAGGCACATGCTATGTGTGTCATATGTGTAATGTAGTGTATAATTCCCATACAGCATTATCCACCAAAATATATACACATTTATACTCCAATACGTTCACATACACCACATAACCGTGACTGTTTATACACCACCATGTTAAATATTGTGTTCTTCAATACGTAAAATTGTTATATATATTTCAACGCGTAAGCATTTATAGCACGGGAAAATGTTATCAAGTGAATTCGGTTAACTCACGGGTTTCACAGTTTGTCCCAGTGTAACATCCTTGACACGAACAGATGAATTCTGTACATGATCTTTGCTGACATGCACCGCTATTCAAACAAGGATTCGGCGAACAGGGGTTTTGTACTGGAAATAAACAAACAAACAAACAAACATATGTTTCATGTCAATAATGCATTGCTTCGAGTGGTTCGTCATCTTCAGGACAACTGCTCTCGGATATATAGTTCTTCGTTCGTCTTTCATTAAGCATGGTCCATTGATTGTGCAAATGGGATGAAAACGATTGAAGCAATACAAAAGGAAATATATTACAATGATTTTTTAACTTACATATTTCGCATAATTGGCCAGTATAACAACCAGCACAAGAACAGGTATAGTCTGTACAACTATTCTGTGCCTGGATACAGAAACCATTATTCCTACATGGGTTTGGCTGACATTGATTGATTCCTATGATACACAATTAAAATAAAATTTAAAAATGGGAATTAGAAAGTCACGATCAGCCACGACGTCGTGCATGGTAACAACACGGAACATTTTACTGACTTAACCTTTTCACCATCAGCTCCCTCTGTTCGCCACAAATTTACAAAATATTCCTGTTTATAGTCTGCTCTTTCCTTCAGGTGATTGAGACAAAAATAGCCAAATATTTTCAGCAAAAATTGAAAAATTACTTAAATTTTGTCTATTGGCTCCAAAATGAGGGTTCATTTCCAGAAATATTGAAGAATATAAAAATAAAAGTGCCGAAATATTTGGATGAGAATGTCTGGTGGTGAAAAGATTACTAGGTAAATTAGTACCCCGTAATCATGTTTATGCATAATAATGAGACATAAGTATCATTGGACATCATGTATTCATCCGACGATCCTCGATACCCACACATACATAAATTTAAAACGGATCGGGCAAACATTTGTTTTTCAATTTCGAAAAATATGAAGTTGAATACACAATTAATTTAAGGTGTACTTACTCGTCTGACAGTACTGGCCTTCATAACATTCAGCGCAGAGACAATTAAACGTTTCACAAGATGTCTGCTCGCACACACCTCCGTTAAAACACGAACTAGTTGCACACGGGTCACGAACTAAAACATATAGACGATAGTTGTGTTTGTATTATCGTGTTAAACTGAATAAAACTGAATATTGCTTTTTAATGTTCCGATTAACCTTTAACGGTGACCAAAGAGAACATTTCGCCATCCACACGATATATAATACGTAATAGAAAGTTTCACATAATAAAATATATACTTACGCAAATCACAGTTGGTTCCGTAGTAGCATCCGGCACACTGGCACGAATATTGTGTACAGGATCCAGTCTGGGCAATACAGGTTCCACCGTTGTTACACGGACTAGGATCGCACTGGTCAAGTTCTATAAATGAAGATGATAACCATAATCACATGCGCAAAACTGCCTAAAAAATGGCCAACTGCAGGGGCGGATCTAGGATTCTGGAATAGGGAGGCCGATAAGTTGGCCGAAGGCCATGTTCCCGAGCGCCGATGGCGCGAAACCCTGTTGGTTGTTAAAAATAGGGGGCCGCGCCCCCCTCGGCCCCCTCTAAATCCGCCAATGCACTGATGAACGTTCATCGCCATTTTTATCAACCTCGAATTAGAATCAAATACAAAACAGGAAAAATAGAAATCCAATACGTACGTATTTCGCAGTTAGATCCAGTATAGCAGAATTGACAATAACATGTGTACTCAGTACACGAACCAGGTACCTGTCCACAAAACCCACCATTCAAACACGGGTTGATCTCACATTGGTCAATCCCTGAAGATAATAACAATACACATGAAGAAACATTTGGTATCGGGATTACAATGTGGCCAATTGCTTTATTAAAACACATCGCTTATAACATACTAATAACTAATAATCTGTCTGATACATAGTATGTTTCATTTGTGACGTAACGCTTGACCAATAAACACAATCGTAATACAATACTTATGCAATAGTAAAAATCCAATTTCCTGAACTTACTTGTCTGGCAATTTGTTCCTTTGTAACAGCTATCACAAATGCACGAGAATTCTGTGCACGAGCCAGGTTGTTCTTGGCACTGTCCCCCATTTGCACATGGATTTGGCTGACATGCGTTGAGAACTGTAAAAAAAAAACATATTTCATCAAGTTCGACCGCACAGTTTTCCCCGCCAATTGTTTTAGTGCAGTATTTTGTACATTTATGTAATTCTATAAATTATTTCTAATTTTCTATTAACTACATGCCTTTTTTTCTTGATCAACATTTTTGAAAAAAAATAATGGGAACAAATATGCGAGGTTATGTTGTAAACGACATAGTTAAATTTGGTGCCCAAAGCGTTAACAGTAGTTGTCATAATTCGAAACTATCATGTAAAATCGAAGACAGCATAATGATAATATTAATTTGCGTACATATGTTTATGTTACTCGGAGCCGACTGAAGTAATGTTAAAGTGGGAGTGTCGTCACCTGCGCAGGCGCGGGAATTGAGTCCTAAGCGACGATAACAAGACACGCTAAAAACGCAAAGGCTCGTGGGTAGACGCCTGTTTGTAAACAATGACACGCTATGGCCATCTGACGCATGTGCAGGTGACGACTGCCCCGCTTTAATTTTAAAATAACATTATGCCTGCATGCTGACGTAATTAGCGTGTAATATACTTACGTGTTTCACAAGATTGTCCAGTGTAACAGCTCGCGCAAGTACACTGATACTGGAAACAAGAATTTTGAAACGCCGCACACTGGCCATTATTCAAACATGGACTAGAAGCGCACGGGTCTTGCACTGAAACATAACGAAAAATTAGGTTTAAATAAAACGGATTATAAGTATAATTATATTTTATGTCTTCTCGGAAATTCCTGTTATAAACATTTTATTCCAATCCTAACGAGAATATGTCACGGTCATCATGGTACATGTATAAGAACTGAACGCCAATTGGTACGGTCCCATTCCGCGAAGCGCGTGTAAACCAATAGGCATCACCGACACGTCAAAACACGATCTCCCTGATTGGTAAATTTTTTTTTCACTAGTAGTTCGTACTTACATATTTCGCAGTCGGTTCCAGTATAGCAACCCGTACATGAACAGAAATAATCCTCACACCCTCGCGGAGAACAGGCTCCTCCATTCTGACACGGACTCGGTGAACATGGCGTCAACGCTAAAAAAGTACGTGAAAGAAATATCAATTATTGAAGCCATCTAATTTAATTTAACTCATCTGTAAACATATTTTTTCATTGGAAATCTTGATAAACACAATAAGGTCTCAGAATTTGTTTTTAAATTGAATATTATCTGTTCCAACATTTTCAACATCACGATGAAATGTACATATGATAACACCAGAGGTACATTACTTGGGGTTTGCAACTACGGTGACATGATACGAAGATCCTGTTACAATCTCGCTCTCGTATAAGCCTTCCAACAGTACTATGTGCGTTGCAAACTCCAAGTAATGTACCTCTAATAACACCCATATTGTAAAACTATACATTTATATAAAAAACAATGTTTAGTTTTTTCGAGCGTAATTGTGCTACATACCAGTTTCGCAGTTGGCTCCAGTGAAGCATCCGACACATGAACATCTATAGTCTGTACATGTCTGCTGCAGACAGAATGCTGAATTCAAACAGGGGTTCGGCTGGCAAGGATTCAGAACTGTGTGATAAGATGGAATCACAAATTGTATTATATCATATTTCCTAATAAGGAATTTATTGTCCATGCTAATAGGATTTCGAGTCATATGTACACCATGACGACATCTCATTAGTTGCATCTGTTTCCCACTGAGCGTGTAGGGGCCGAGCGTGTAAGGTGTGGTGAAATATTCGTTAAAAGATACCGAAAGTAAGACACCGAGAGTGAACAAACATTGCATGCGAGGTGTTGCAGGAAAAACATGTTGGCACATTCATAAAAAATATTAATGTAAATAGTCCGCCCACCTGCACGATTTCAATAACCAATACATGTAATGCGGGAAACTCACTATAAGACGCATCATCATTACTTTTAAAAAAACACTTTAAATAAAACTTCAGTAACTCAATGACTCTAGCAAGACCATACAGCAGAGTATAAGTTTGGCTTCTTAGCCATTGATGGCACCCGCGTTCCTGAGTTAAATGGCGGTAGTCGTCGCGCCATGCATGCGCGAGATATATGGGTCTCATATTAACAAAGAAGGCGACTTTTACTATTGCGCAAATCAACGAGTACAAAATTAGACGTTACCAAGCTTTACTTAGGTAATTTTAAGAGATTGGAAGGTATCGAATGAGTCACCGGCGGTAATTAGTACAAGTCGCGCTCAGGTCAAACCTCATACTTGTGAAGAGCGCATTGGATTATGGGAAATCAATGTTTATCAACACAAGTGTCGCACATGCCCAGTGCGACGACTGCCGCTCTTTAACTTGATCTACTGCTTTTGGTTTCTTGTCACGTATTAATGTGAGAGCCGCGCGTTTGAACGAGATAACCGGAATAAATGAAAATGACATAACGACTACAAATTGTATATTCAGTATCCCGTGGGACTGTGATTACTCAGATTGCGTCGTACACTGCATGTTACAAATTCATCATTGATATACCGCGGTATAAATAATATTAATTACTCACGTGTTTCGCACTGAAGACCTGTCCAGCACCCCGAACAGGCGCACGTGTACGCTGTACACGCCCCGCCGATTTGCTGGTTACACTGGCCGCCATTTCGACACGGATTAACGGCACACGGATTTATAGCTGTAACACAAAACACAAATTCCGTTAGACTTAATTGCCGTAGTTAAGATGCATTTATACAGCGGGAAGGAATTGAAGGAATATACTGGTTCCATTAGTTAGAATTTTGCGGATTGTATTATCGTAACAAACGAAATTTAATTGTGTGCGCAATAAAACCAATTTCGTGATAAATCATAACTCAGTGCGTGTATCAGCAAAGTCACAAAACATCTTCAAAAGCTAACCATTTTAAATTTAAGATAATCGAACTCAATTTTGACTTACCCGTCTGGCAGTTCGCTCCTTCCCAGCAACCACTGCACACACACGTATAAGATGTACACGTTGTCGCTATACACTGACCTCCATTTATGCAAGGATTGTCAGAACACGGGTCTTGGACTGTAATACAATATTAAATTATTCAATTGTGGTGTACAGATAAGACAATGACACATTAGGCAAAAAGTAGGCTTTGCTCTTCGTCAACACTCGCCTCAGTTTGAAAACTGTGCGCCATGCATTGTTTAGTAAGTAAATGCTAAACGTTGAACTAATATCTTGTTGTTTTATTAAATAAACTTATTAAAAAAAATAAAGCCTGCTTTTTGAGCTAATTAATTTTTTGCAAACGACTTTATAAACGTAGCCGCATTCTAACGAATGTCCGTTTTCTATATGACCATTAAATGTCAAACATATCGACACTAGTTGTCACATAATGGCAAAACTGTTCTATATTATACCCAAAGGTTTGCTATGTTAAACTATTGTTGTACTCCAATGAACTCATGTCGCAGTTTTGGTGGGGAATATTTGATAAATTCTTATTGTTTGTGAGTGAGTACACTCAAAAAGTACTGAGATGCGTGACTTTTTGGAGGTCATACACTCAGAAAGTACCAGGATGTGTGACATTTTGAAGGTCATACAGCCAGAAAGTACCAGGATGTGTGACCTTCGGGAGGACATACACCCAGAAAGTACCAGGATGTGTGACCTTTGAGAAGACATACAACCAGAAAGTACCAGGATGTGTGAACTTTTCGGAGGTCATACACCCAGAAAGTACCAGGATGTGTGAACTTTTCGCAGGTCATACATAATACCCATGGCGTGAAATTAATCTTCAACCAAATAACAGTAAATCGTATGCTTACGTGTTTGGCAGTTTTCTCCGATGTAACATCCGGAACACGAACAAGAGTAACTGGTACACCCAATGGCATTACAGGTTCCCCCATTCAGACAAGGAGTATTTCCACATGGATTCAAAACTAGGAAGATAATAAATAATAGCTTAAGTTAAAGCCGTATGTACTAATAGATAGTTAACGTATTACCAGTCACATTTTGCTGTGAATCCGAAAACTAACCATCCCGATACAGCCATTCCACGTTACGCTATACTAGCAAAAACTGGTTATTAAATGTCTATACATACAACACAGGAACAAAAAATACTTGCAATACAGTACATATATAAACGTGTATTACTTACGTGTTTCACAGTTTTTTCCAGTATAACACCCCACACAGAAACAGCTGTACGTTAGACAGGTTTCCTGATTGCATGTACCTCCATTGAGGCACAGTGAAGGATTACATGGATTCTGTACTGCATAGTGCATGGAAGAAATAAAAATGTTGGCATGTTAGTGACAAGATGATAATCGTGATAAACGTATATTACTCATATCACGTGACAATGTGAGTTGTACGATATATTGTTACCTCAACTACATTTTGCCTAGACCTATACGAATGAATTTCAACTCACGTATTTCACATCGATCCCCTACGTAACATCCGGTACAGGTACACTGATAAGTTGTACATGTCAGTTGAGTACACATGCCAGAATTTAGACATACATTTCCCGAACATGGATTCAGTACTGAAAAAAAACATTGCCAATATTTCAACTGCTTCGAACAATGTCAAATAATATTAATGGGGGACGATAAAGACGATTATGATATTCTGAAAACATATGGATATATGAGAAATTAGATAATTAACGTAATTGGTAAAGGTTATTTCACTTACGCGTGAGACAGTTGTTACCAGAATAGCAGCCTACGCACATGCACTGGTAATTCGTACATGAGTTTGCTACCTGCACGCAAGTTCCGCCATTATAACACGGTGAATTCGAGCACGGGTCTTGTACTGAAAATAAAATAGAAGATATTGGGAGATAATTACTTAGAAGGAGATTAAATTAACGAAAAATGAAAGCGAGGCTCTATGTCCACCTGAACTAGTTTATTCAAGCCGGTTTGATAATATGCTCCAAAAGTTGTTACATAAATATTAATTAAAAGATACGTCACCAACGTTTGTGCTTTTACTCAATAGATTTTTTGTTGGAAAAAAACTGTCCGATAAAATGTTGGAACAAACAATTTGCACTGGAATCTATTTTTCATTTCATAAAACTAATAATATCCATTATTATTTCTAATTATATAAGTTATTGACCCCATGAATGGCATTATTTTTTTCACCAAATAAAGCCTTGAATTATAGACCAATATAGAGGACGTTATTTAGGTTATCGGCCACTATGGATGGCATTTGTATATACAACAATAAATGGCATTATTATTTTTTCACCATATAAAACCACTATGCAAGGCATTATTTATGTTATTGGCCGCTATGGATGACATTATTTTTTTTCACATTATACGTTATCGACCACGACGGGGGATTTCATCGGGGTTTAGTTAAATCATAACAGTACATTGTAAACATCGAGTGACATGTTTTAATGGTACCCATGCAGCTGCATATATTACAGGACAGGTATACTCACATGTTTCGCAGTTTACCCCGGTGTAGCAGCCGGTACATGCGCACTGGTACTGTGAACACCCTATCGCATTGCATACACCCCCATTGCGACACGGATTTGTCGAACATGGGTCAAGAACTAAAAGTAAAAAAAAAAAAAAATTGAAAAGGATGCTACAGCGGTAATTGAACAAGAATACATATTTAATGCAGATTGGACATAATAGTAAAATAAATGATATAAAATAATGTAAAGATAACGACATCATAATGTTTAATTACACTTACGTATCTCACAACTGCTTCCAGAGTAACATCCAGCACACTCACAGTATCTGTTTGTGCATCCAAGATTTGTACACGTGCCGCCATTTAGACATGGTTGGGTAAGACATGGGTTGAGTTCTGTGAATCGAAATTAATAAGTGTCACGTATACATTGACGTATTAGAAGAATAACATGCGTTTGAAGTAAGTTACCTCTTATAACATGTATGCGTGACGTATCGGGACAAATGAAAAATAATTAACAGTACACAAATTAAAATTTGTATATACATATTCAATAGTTGAGCTCTAGCAAAACACTGAGACATTGAGAATATATTAACTGTTATTTTACTAAATATTCTCCATGACATATATGAATTATATAATATAATAAAATAAAATAATAAAATTTGTAATCAATTATCATAGCAACTTACCCGTAGCGCAGTTGTCTCCCGTGTAACATCCAGAACAACTACATCTATACTCGTGTACAACTTTCTGTGATACAGAAACCCCCATTTTGACACGGGTTGGTATCACATGGATTTAAAACTGCAACATAATGCCAACGACAAAAAACAAAAATTAAAAACAGGAATAGATTCAATGTGTTCCCCTATTCCCCTATGTTAGTTATGTCCGGGTAATACTCACAGTTACTGCACCTCTCCCCTGTCCAGCATCCATAGCACTGACATTGGTAGTCTGTACAGCTCAGGGCAGTACATGTTCCACTGTTAAAACATGGGTTCGTTGGAGAGCACGGGTCGAGTACTGGAAGGCAACAGTTACAAGTAAGTATACCACACTGATTATGCGTCTTAAAAAGACGAGAAGTTCGAGAAGAATTTCTTTGTGACTGGATGCTAGTCCCATAATGTCGTTAACATCTAGTCACAAATGTTTTTTTTTTCTTTTTTGCATTTTATTCAATACAGCTGAACAAGAATAAGACGTTACAATAGGAGAAGAATGCCAATCACGTTGGTAACGAAGGTTACGATTTCGCCCGGGAGGGTACTCACATACGATAAAAGTAAGTTTATTTAAGCCAAATTTGGACAACAAAATCTGGAAATTACACAATTTTTACCCAATTTAGTCCGGAAATGACGTCATTAAAAATACCATTACTCGCCAAAAAATAAAGTTTTTTCATACCATATTTCTCCCGTTTTTTTTATTCGAGTGCCGGGCGATTCAGTGATAACAAAGGCTAAGCAAAAAAGTAGTAGATGTACTAAGAGAAGATAACAATGACATAGTTCGTGAGATTTGCGTGTTACTGGTGGAGGTGCAAGCAATGCCGGTGCAATATTATTTACTGTAGGTGCCAAGATAAAATATATATACATAAACGACCTATTACGTTAAAATAACTTCAGATCAGAAGTAACGCATGTAGTAGAATGGTAGTCACTGGTACTTTGTAATATGCCGTAATGAAAAACGCCCGAGTCGTCGCGTTGCGTCATTTCCGTTACGAATCCCATGCAACGCACGCTCTTTGTTTAGAAGAATTGTAAACGCATGCTGCGTCACGTGACGAAGACAATTTAATGACAGTAACGGTTTTACTGTTTTATGTCAAGTTCTGAAAATGAGCTAAAAGAATTGAAACTCGTTTCCATGGAAATTATATCACTATATCATCCCTACTTGAAATGTCGGCCATTTTATATGACAATTTGTACGTCTGTGAAGTTTCTCAGAATAGTGAAAGATAGATTACTAGTCTGAGGAAGTTCAAAGTGCAAAAAGGTCGGTGACCCCTAAATATATCTGGGAATTTCAAAATATATTTATGTGAATCTTTGTTATGCCAAATTTTAAGGGCAGTGGTCGTCGTGTCGCGTGTAAACTACAAGTTTACGACCATATCTGATCATTCTTCTCTAACATATCCCGGGGTAATGTAACTACCATTCTCGCTGTAACATGCGCAACGACACGTGAAGTGATTTTGTCACAATAGATGGTCTGTTGACGGCTTTAAACTCACACTCCTGGCAGTTGGTGCCGGTGTAACAACCGAGACACGAACACTGATATGTATTACAAGAGGTGGCCATGCACGTGCCGCCATTTATACACGGATTAGTCGAACATGGATCAAGATCTGTAAACGAGGACATATTAAAAAGAATATCACATGCAAATTATGAAATATGATAACCAATGCAGAATAATGCATTAACATAAAAAACGAAAGATCTACCTACATTCTTTCGTTTTTTATGTGCAAGCATTCTGATTGGTCGACATGCAAACATTTACATAATACGTTCTTCAAGCCAATGGCAGTGAAGACACATAATCATGCATAATAAACACTCACGGTAATCGCAGTTCAAGCCAGTATAACAACCGGCACAATTACACTGATAGTCAGTACACGACGTTTTTACGCATGTTCCCTGGTTTAAACACGGGTTAGTAGGAAAACATGGGTCCAGAACTGAAACAATCGTAGATATATCGTGTTATCAAAAGTATCATTATATTAAAACGGCATGTATTAAACAAATAATAAGCAATCTTTTTACCTAAAATGTAAAAAAAAATATAACAGTTCCAAAACCGTTTACATAGGTATATGTTATGTGATCATGAGTAATTGTAGAAAATTAAACGTCTACTATGTTACAAGTAGTCAGTGTTGGGTGCTAATTTAATTAAATGTTTATTATCAGTAGTAAATGCATTCCGACTTATTGTTTATTATTGTTGATCAGAGGTAGATATTATTGGATGCGTTGTCAGAACAGAGAACAATCTGAGAGAATAAATACTCGCTAATGAATCAATGATAAATTATCGTGCTATAGCATAAGAAAAAGTTTATAAACAGATAAATCGGTGGACGTGTTTCTAGTACGATATGCATTCCATTAGGATAAGGTTTATATTCAATGTATTATTGCATATATAATGATAAGACAGTCACATTACTTTTTTTCGGAGGAAATTGTAGAATTTTATATGAAGCAAATGATCCAAAGGAATGTAACAATGACACGCATGCGCATGTCCAATTACAAGATGATGTAATAGACATGCATTTATATATACGACCCATATGAAGAGATTGCCCATACACTGCATGCTCGGACCTTTCGAAAGTTTATTTTTTTCTAACTCAAAACAAAGGTACAATATAGTAAATTTCATTACATGGCAACAATGTACCATGAACACGTGTTTGGAAGAGGTGTCTGGAATGTTTTCTCATAATGTTGATAATTTACATAATTTAACATATTCATTGTCACATGATCATATACCGTACAGGTAGGCAACCTTAAACCTTATCGTCTTTAGAGTAAAACTAAAACACGCAACACTAGCAATTAAAACCACAGAAACTAACATCGCCACTGACAACTAAACCGTTATTTGAAAGCATAACCACTATACGAGTGCGGGAAAAACACACACACACGCGCATGCGTAGTTGCTTGCACAGCCATGCTCGTTCCCAAGAACTGATATCGAATTTCGATGACACCCACTGCCTATAAGAATCATCGACATAATGAAATGTTAGTCTCCATTTTATATCTTACAGGCAGTTGACATCACCTAAATAGCAAATGAACATAAGCATTAAACTAAAATAATCAAAAAAGGGGTCGTTACATGATCATAGCATTTACAATTGATTCAGCTTTTATTTGGTAGAAAGAATAATTTATGAAAATATTGAATAAATAGAGGCAGATGATGATATAACGACGTTTTACATTTACTGAATAACTATATGCAAGACTATTATAATGTTAATATTATTACATGTACTGCAGTAAGTGCCTGTGTAACATCCACTGCATTGACAGGTGTAATGAGCACAATTGAATTGATCTCGTTGACATACGCCACCATTTTGACATGGACTAAACCGACATGGATCGATGTCTGTGTTTGATACCGATATGCAGCAATTGTGAATGAATTAAAAGTAAATGACGTCACCAAAGTTAAACAAACATATAGTTTAGTTAGTCACCATACATGCAAAATAACATTTTTTTTTCTAGACATTTACATCCGTATACTGGGATTACTACCATAATTCATTTTACTACGTAGATAACGTATACTGGTCAGTTTTTATCTGTGATGTAATATTTAAGAATATATCTACATATTTTTAAACACCAGTTATATATTTCAACATCGAAAGAAAACACGATGCTAAAAATACTTACATGTTGCACATGTCTGCCCAATATAACAGTCGAGGCAATTGCAGGTATATTGCGTACAAGAACCAGGGGTTGGGATACACGTGCCGCCATTTTGACACGGGTTGTTTGCACATTGGTCCAGTCCTGCATTTTTGCAATAAAAAGGTCATTTTTATTTTCCATATATATTAATGTTACGTAGTTACACAGATGCCGACAAGTCTCGCGAACTAAGACCGATGAGGGCGTGTGATGTATAATTTTATTTAATAACTTTATTTTTACTTGAGGTTAGTTTTTTCTTACGTATTTCACAGTTTGTCCCCGTATAACAGCTGGTACAAATACAGGAAAACATCTGGCAACCTCCCATAGCAATGCAGGTACCACCATTCTGACATGGAGCGCCATCACACTGGTTGATACCTAACAAACAACAAACAAATGGGTACATATTACATACAATGAAAACACCTTAGTCACCACGTTACACGTTAGTCAGCACTGAGACAGGTTCACATACCATTCTGATAATATTACGTAGTACTAAACTAATACTTACGAACGTCACAATATTGTCCAACCCAACAGTCACTGCACTGACAGGATACAGATAAGCAATTGTCTTCCATGATGCAAACACCATTAAACCCACACGGGTCATTTACTTGACATAAATCCACGGCTGAAAATGACATGCATTACAAATGAATGAAAGATGCAATTGATAATAAAGTTATGATATATGAAAGAGTGTCGCCCCCATCTGAGATCTCTTCAATAATAACAAAAGCAGGGTGTTAATCCCAGTGACTTCGTATCAATCACGGCAAATGATGTATACTACGTTTCGACTACAACCTAACTATTCAATCATTGGTGTAAACCGGACGACAGGTTACTCATGCCTGTATCGAGCATTTAACAACATCTGTGACTGGTATATGTCAGAGGTGAATTAGAAAACTGCTTTCTGGTGTGGGCACTTTAAAAAAAAATGTCACATACACAAGTTCAACCGGGACCAAAGAAACATTCTAAAAATTACTTACGCGTTTGACATTGCGCGCCTTGCCAGCAAGACGTACATTGACATGTGTATTCACTACAAGAATCTGCGACGCGGGTACACGTGCCAGCATTGAAGCAGGGATTTGGGTTCACGCATTGGTCCTCAACTGTAGAGACACAATATCCATTAACACATTAACATGCTCATAATTCGAACTCCGATTGCCAAATCACTATTGATAACAGTCATAATCCGTTAGCGATTGTTTGATCAGTGAATTGATGATGTGGCGAAAACGAAGTTGTGAATGAATTTCACTTTTTTTCTGGTCTCCCTATAATATTACTTAATTTTATTGACATATTTCTGGACTTTTTTAGTTTTTAAAAATTACAGAACTTACATGTCTCACACAATACACCACTATAACATCCCACACAATTGCACTCAACGTTCAGGCACTCTGGCAGCATCTGACACACAGCGTTATTCAGGCAGGGATTTTGATCAGAGCACATGTCATAGGCTGAAAAATAAAATTTAAACATCAGTTAATTGTTATCATTTAAAATGTTTGTTTCTGTCTGTTCTACTTAAAACAATTCGTTTTTTTTTGAAAAAAAACACAGTTGTAAGCGGTGACAGCAACAACAAAGTTTATGTCGAACACTTGAAATTATGCTAATGACATCTGTGAATTACCCGGATGTCCATTTTACTTACCTATTTGACAAGTAGGTCCTTCCCAACACGGCATGCATGCACACTCATAGTCAACTCCATTGGGCATCACCGTACATGTGCCACCGTTCCTACACGGTAGCATGAGACACGGATCGAATCCTGTGAAAAGATAGTTATATGTGGGATATCATATATAGAATGAATTAAAATGCATTAAAGTAAGAATAACTATTCATATAAAAAAGACAATCTCAGTTGTATAACATTTGCCAATGGTCAATTTTCAATTCTATATTCAAAAGAACAAGTCACTGTTTCCATAGGAACAAGTCATTCTTTGTCATTTGACAGAGCCTGGAAAATTATCAAGAATTTGTAGTACCTTTACCATTTTTCGCATTTTCACAAGTAACATTTTTAAATCTCATTTTCGTCGTTGCAATAAGTGACGATAACATTGATTTTTGTTTACAAATAAGTAAATACCACATATTTTTTCATGTGACATGTACCCCTTATTTTCTCTATCTCTTTATTTTTGGTGTTTTCAGTGACTGCACGCACTTTGTAGTCGGCCTTACCTGTCATTTCCCAGTTCAGCCGCCAACCACGATGCTCAATCGTTTTGTCCGTCAGCCACAAGATATACACAGCGTCCCCGGGTATGGTGATTGGACTGGGCGCCTCAAATCCTTCGTAGACGTATTGCAGTGGGTCGGTCATATTCTCAAACATTAACGGTTGGTTGTGAGTAAGACCGGGACCGATATAGAGTTCATCTTTTTGAACTTCTATTTCAAATATATCGGTGCTAAACCAGAATTTAATTGATGTGCACCCTGGGATGTAAAGCAGGTACAAAGTTCTATGTCGTTGAAAATAATTATTTGGGTAGTTGGGTGATGTAAAATATCCTGAACTACACTCAATCCCGAAACACGTCTCCTTGGCATTATTAGCTAAAAATAAAATAAGAATAAATTGTTAATTAATATTCACAACTTTTTCATGTCACGTGATATTTGTGTAAGTCATCGAACCGCCATTGTGCCCTTCTAGCAACGTTGTAGTTATTAAGATTGATCTCTAGTTATCCGTGTATCATATCGCGACTGGTAAGGCGAATGTTTGATGCGACGTGCCATCAGACACTGAAAAACAGTAGTCACTTGGTGAAAACTTGTGTTTATGTATGTGTACGAACCACCTTCGAGCTTACAAGATGCTGACGTCATCGAATATAAATCCGTAAATAAACAAATATAAGTATATTGAACGCAGGGCTACGCCAATCTTTCCAGTATGATTTCAATATGTGCTGCCGTAATAAACATAGCGGGCTTTTGCGTGTATAAACCTGCAAATGGTGTTACGATACGACGGATCATTGAGTAATACATTCTTGTGTGAATATAGAACTTTGTATTTCAAAATATCGTTGGCATCAGCTCGACCCTCTAAAAACTTACCATATGCTTGTCCTTGACATGTTTCACCCATGAGATACTCGTCTCCAGGGCACTCGCAAACGTAAGGTGGAATTGCACTGCCTTCTGTCTCTGGCACTGTGGGCCTCTCGTAACATGGCCCCAAATCACCGCACGGTTCGTCGTCACATGCATCTATTGAAAAATGAACCACACATAAATAAATATACAACATTCTATTTCAATGTTAATGTAAAGAATAGCAATTAGCAGGGAATCGCAACAAACAGCAAATTAAATTTAAAAGAATGCCCATTTAGTCAACTATGGGTACCAAAGTATTATTCAACTATTCTGTGAACACGCCAGCAAATGGTTACAGTAAATCAAAGAAGTCGGAAATTGTCTTCCGTTGAAGCGTGTCCTTTCCTGAGCACTTATACTTAATCGGATAACGATGAGAGAGGGTTGTATTGAGTCGAGTTGCCGTTTTGTGATAGTTTTGCAATAAATAATAATAAAATGCTTAACTTAAGCCATCAAAACCATAAGTTTTACCATACTACAGACTCGGGAAATATACATGTACTGTTATTTGAGTATCGGTTCATATTTCATGTTCGGTATATTTACGCCATGTCTGTTACGTAGCGCATAGGTCATTAATGAATTGGGGTTCACTGCGTATTTATATCACAATTATAAACACATCCAAGAATAAAATAAAATTGGAATAGTAGAAAACTCGGAAGGCTCCGAACATGAAAAATTGGGGTAGAATGCGGGAGCTTGTAAGAAAAAAATATCTTGTGCGTGAACAACAAGAAAACTTACACGACGAGTGCACAATGTGAAAGAAGTGGTAGGAACATAAATAAAGATTGTTGTCAGGCATATGTTAATACAATATTTGCAAAAAAAAAAAAAAACAGAACAAAAAACAAACAAAAAAACAAACAAACAAACAAAAACACGAATTCTCCCCCTTCAGATTTCAAATGTGAAACCCCTAAGAACCTAGTAGAGTCACCGTGATAATGTACTTAAACTCTGTTGACACAATCTCGACAATCAGTCAACATCTCTGTCCATTTCGAACATTAAACGAACATTAATACACAAAAAAATAAATAACAAAAGTTTGCAATCACAGTGCGCAATGCGCGTTATATAATGGTTACCCATAATATTTTGCGCTAACTCCCGCTAGATCAGTACGGACTTATTTTAACTAACTCGTACAGCAAACACCTATTTATATGTATTAACTAAAGAGTCACGTCCCACGGGTTGACCACAATTAACCTATGTTTTGTTGTATGGCGCTTAACCACTGAAATCTAACAGATGTATGGCTCATTCAATCAGGGGTATTGAAGCTGAGTAAATATCTACAGTCACGTGTTTTTATGAAAAAAAAACCAGAGTATGAATTGCATAGACATGGATCATAGTAATATGTATCGTGCATAATGCGAGGAAACCACTTGTTTGATTGCGTCGTTCGGATTTTTGCAAAATGTATTCAATTGTATAAACTCAAAATGACGTGGGTGCCATGGCAACATTCAAGCCTGTGGTTGAATTGTAGCATTATAATTTTTAAAAAGCAACGTCGAGCGAAATGTACATTTCTTGATTAATGTTTCGACATGGTGAAAGAGGCAATTATTGTGCTTTTGTTATGCGTATACTGCCATGAATTGTTGCGATCAATTAGGTCAGGTGAGCCCCCCCCCGGGATGTCAGGGTAATGTGCATGGTAATTGTGTCCCTGCTGTCTCTTTTTTCTTTAAAATTCCAGACTTACTCAAATAGGAATTGCTCATGTTATACATGGTATTTAAGAAGTAAAACTCACAGGCGATACTATTCCGAGCTTCGATAAGCAAACGAGTCGGACTCGGACAGGAGATAGTGAATTTCGACCGACCTCAGGCTTGATATATAGTAGATAATATTTAGTAATCGTAGTCCTAAATAACTATTAAAAATAGCTAGACGTTTCGGCAATGAAGATAGCATAGAAGAAAATGTACAATTCAATATTATAAACAAAAGCACAGTAATTGCCTTTTTCGCCATGTCGAAACATTAATCAAAAAATGTACATATCGCTCGACGTTGCTTTTTAAAAATTATAATACTACAATTCAAATGACCTCAGGCTTGGATGCGCGCGAGGGGGTACGTATTTGAAATGACTCAACCTAGATGTATAGCAGAAAGGAGTGGCATTCAATGTTACGTTTTTCCGTATATGAATATACTAGTACGAACATTCCCGCCATTTAGTATGGGCGGTCTGTGCCGACCAAGGCGTGATATTTCGTATTTTATATTTGACCCAACTTTGCTTTTGCACTTTTTTTCAAGCATGCATTGGTTTCACATTTCTCTGCAACTTGTACATCTAAGACGCCGTCAGACAGAACAGCCCTTTGTGTTCCTGTTTTATCCATACACGTTTGTTTGGTGCTTGGTATGCGGCCACAGTCAGTAAGAAGGGTCAACAAGGGTCGTTCCATACAATGGAACGGCATGTCAGGGAGGGTCGTAATACACGGTGAATGTGTATGTGTGTGATTGGTAGTTCAATGGAATTCCACGCAGTCAGATTAAAGACTCACATTCTTGTAATCGATGCTAGAAATTACTTATCTTCTCTGATTGGCCCAACCAGAATCCTTTCCCTAGAATGGAACGTATACCCATTATCAAAGTGAATTATTTTAATACAATTTTCAATTACAGAATGTTTGAGTTGTATGCATAAGCAGACCAACTCCTATGCGCATTTGTGTGCCTTTGATTTGAGACTACCTGTCTGTCAAACGTCAAAGTTAGCACATAAACGTGTATTTAATTGAACACAATATTATGCAAATTATCGCCCATCCGAACTCCACCCCAAAACTAAGATTTTTACCTTTAATGTAATATTTATAACGACCCACCTCAGTTCAATTACAAGATTCTTGTTTTTTTATTGATATAAATGTGGAATTAGTGAATGATTTTTTACCAGAAACACGATATTGCCTGGTTGTTAGATCAAACGTGAGATAACGTGGCTTCTTTGTATTGATTTTTTGACGCGTATTTGGTATTGGCATTTACCCGGATAACATTTTCATATTAACATTTTATTAATTAAATCATAATGAACACAACATATATGTACTTGGCTGTCACTAATTATTAGGAAAATTTGAAGATTTGATATTTCTATGGAAATAGTTCTAAAATTATTATTCGTTGAAATGTTATTCTGTTGTCGTCTGTATTAATGTGCATTGAAACTATACTTTGTCGTTGAAGTGTAACATGTCTAATTAAATATCAATGAACTTATTAAGAGGATGTTTGACGTCACGTTTAGGTAATGATCAAATTATATCAAAAGTTGGATTTCTTGAATGGTTGTTCGCATAGTGAGATTACATCGCGTGTGACGCGCCATCATGATAATTATTATTCATTGTGCGTGTACCGTGAATTTAACTATAATATATACACATTGCGACGACGCATGTCAGATATTAACCATCGTTAATTGTCTGGAACAGAAATTACGCCGTACAACATCAGTTATGCATACATTAATTCTCTCTTGGGTACACCTAACGCCGTCTCATGCTTCCAGAACATTTATTTACCACGTACCCAAGAGACAATGACCTTGAAACGATGTTATCTGCATAATGTCATTCAATTTTTGAAATACACACATTATCAACGCGAAGAGTAATCATCTAAAAAGAAATAAATCCCCCCTGCTTTAAAGTACATTGTCAATATCACCCTAACTATGATGTGTTTCATTAGCAAATCGCTTTCCCCTTCCCGTGAGAGCGACAGATGACACGTGTTCAACCCATATGATTAACGACTGAGTACATCGTCGTCAGGAAGGAAGGAAGTCACGATAGATACAGACAGGCTGTATCCTTTATCTTCATCAACGGACACTCAAGGAGCCGTGTATAAAAACAGAACATAAGGATACCTATTATATTATATTATATTATATTATATTATATTATATTATATTATATTATATTATATTATATTATATTATATTATATTATATTATATTATATTATATTATATTATATTATATTATATTATATTATATTATATTATATTATATTGTGAATCTATGAATCATAATTATGTTTATGAGTTTGACCCTCTGAAATAATTTCCATCTCTAATGACCCTGGTTTCGATTATTTTAATTATATTGCTAAGTGAATTAAATCACCGAATTCACTCAGAGATTATGCCACCCATCGATTGAAGATCAGCGACCTCATTTCCATCCAAGAGTTGTTTTAATCATTTGACTCAAATTTATTCAACAAATTTGCCCAGTAACAACTATAATTACAGACTTCTCGTACTTCTAATTTATGAAGCTGTACATGGTTGCCTCGTTGGAATCACTGGCATAATTTCTATGCAAGCAGACAGACAAGGGAAAGAACCCCCACTGCCAATGCGCTGCTTTTGTATTTTGTCACATGGTTTCCAAGGGAAACACTGGCTTTTGTTAGCTTCTTGTTCGACACAATGAAACGAGAGAGCAATTTCATTCGCCAGCGACCCTGTATAAGCGCCTTTTGAGACGCATTGGCCAGTAGCCACGACGCTTCGCTGCAATCAATATAAGTTTTATATTGTATTCATGACCTTTGACTTACAAGAACCGCACCCGAGGTTTTTCACCCCACTGGTACTACACAATACTGTAGTTTTTAGAGAACCGATTATACACTATGTCAGTTAGATAGTTCCCGTTTTTTCACATTGTAATTCATTGACTGCGTTCCCGTTTTGAGCATTTCCCCCAACGTACCCATGGTGAATAGTTCCAGTCCAGTAGCTCCCCTATATAAGTTGGATTCATGATATACTTGTCACGGTACATGATTCACATTTTGAATAGCGTCGAGTGTAATTCCAATATTATGGCAATGCATTATTAAAACGTGGGTTCCCCTCGCCGTTTATTAACTGTTAACCACGGCTAGCAGCTGCAGGTTTCAGTGCCATGTTGTGATTTTTGCCTGAGTACGTTATCACGGCCACCATTTTGTTCGTTATAATTCGCTAGTGGTTTATTAATATTTCTCTATCATGACATATTAGGTAAGGAATACCGCGAAATTTAGAATAAAAAATGTTATCTC